GACAGATTTATTTCTCCTCATTTGCTTTACAAAGATATTAGTAGTAAAAGTTACATCATGCTCATCAGGTCAAACTAGTCTGTCATAGGTATAATGGATTAATGTGAATTTTTTTGAAAGGGAAAATCCAACATTTGTCTGTTCAGACTAAATGACAGCATTCCCATTGGATACAACTACAAAACACTCCAGTACCTAAGGATCAGGGAAAATTGCAGAAGAAGGGTGGAAAGATAGAAGAGCAAGAGGATCAGGGAGTTTTCAGTGAAACTGTGTTTCCTAGTAACACCAGAAGCTGTGCCAGCAAAGTCTCACCAATACAACTATCCAAAGGTGAGATGAACAAGGATGACACAAATGAATCTGCCAGACTAAAAAGCCCACAAGACCTCAACCCTACACAGAGAGCTATAGGCAATTGAGGAAAGCTGGGAAAGGATAGGTGATCTACACCAGGGAAAAGCACACCAATTTGTTGTCCAGTACCAAACTGTCGACTCTGAAAACATACATAAAGGTATCATTACACAGACTGAATATATATATATATATATATATATATATATATATATATATGTTTATATACATACAGATTTATGCACACGATAACAATAAAAAAGAGGCCATGCATTTGACTGGGGAGGGGTGTATGAGAATGTTTGGATGGAGGAAAGGGAAGGTATGTTGTAATTAAATTATAATCTCAAAAATGTGTAAATAAATAAAAAAAAGAACCAGGAAGTAAAGATACAAGAAGTAAAAAAAAAAAAAAATGAAAGTGGTTAAACAACATGGGGTTGATACGTATGTGCACAAAGGTAGGCATATACATTTATTTACTAAATGGACTTAGTTCCATGATCAGGAAGACTGAGAAGTCCAAGATTTGATGTCATCTGGCAGAGAACAGAAAACAGACAGTAGAGCAGTAGTCAGGTTGGGTCTTCTGAAACGGGGACTGATGGAACAAGGCAGAAGACCCATGTCGAAACACTGAAACAGGCACAGAGAAAGAACCGATTCTTATTGTGCCTCTCTGTTAATTCAGCCCTCAGCTGTTTTGCATGAACTCCATTCACATTCGGGAAAGTAGTTTGTTTTACTCAATTCATTGATTCAAATGTCAATCTCACCCAGAAAAGCTCTCATAGTCACACTCAGAATAATATTTAACCAAATATCTGGGTACCCAGTGGCCCACTCAAATTGATACATAAAAGGAACCATTACAATGCTTCATTGTAAAGCACTATGAGTTAGATTAAGGTGATAACTGAAGAAAATGCATTAAGGTCCCATGACAAATTTTAAAAACAGAATTTGCTTTTTTTTTTTTTTTTTTCCGGAGCTGAGGACGGAACCCAGGGCCTTGTGCTTGCTAGGCAAACGCTCTACCACTGAGCTAAATCCCCAGTCAGAATGCGCTTTTTATACGTTGTAGTTCAACTGCTTTAATAGAATGTAATTTATTTGCAGAAAGAAAACAGAGTGAAATGTGATTTTATTTACAAAGTTTATACTTACGCTGAATTCTCCTGTGAGGTTGTTGCTTTCAAAGTTCACTAGAACCGTCCTAGTTTCTCCCATTTTACCATGTCTAAGATGGAAAACAAATACAGTATCCAACCTTCAGAGCTGTAGGCATCTCATAGCACTTCCTTTTGTTATTTTTTAGGATTAAACATCATCTAGGAAAATTATCCTGATGTGTTCACATATTAAATTTGTAAGTTAATAATGTGATGTTGAATTAGTCTTCAAGGCTGCTTGACAACATGTACTATTAAGGATCCTGAACACACTGCACCTGTATTTTTCCCATTTTATAAACAGGAAAATCTAAGTTCACAGATTCTAAATATTTCTCAGAAGTCTTATGAAAGTGTAGTAGCAAAGAAGGATGTGTGAGTAAATGCAATTTTTCTTAGTGCACTTATTCTTAAGCAAATATGTCATCAATTTAAAAATAGATAAAATGAGTACCATGCACTAGTGAAATATTTGAAATAAAAATGTTAAAAACAAAAGCCTAACTTTCATGTGTTTACATTCTACAAGACTAATCTAAAGTTTTAGGGAAAAAGAATATATAAAAAAAAAGTACGACACTTGTGCTTATTGAGCAGTTAACACTGGTAACTGTAAATTGTCAATGGTTTAATTTGAAGGTAATGATGCATCGAATCTGAAATTTAGAATCCAAAAATATCTAGCTTCAAGGGAGCAAACCAACTTTGTAATGCAATGATATTTTTCCTATTCTTAGATATAAAACAACTCTATCCTACTTTGAGTTACTATAATAAGGAGATATGATAGTTCCATGTCACTTTCATATCTGCTTTCATCTCAAAACCTCCTAAAATACTTTGAATTTTTTAACTTAAGAGACACAAAAGTACTTTCAATCAGGTGAGAGAAACAAAAATATCCATTCTATTCACATTTTAACTGGATTTGGCCCACTGATTAAGACTTATTAATCTGATCTCCATATTTTACAAACAGTATCTGCAGTCTGAAAATGTCTGTGACTTTATAAAGTTGTGCATAAAAATACCTGAAAGACTCAATGCATGTGTTCACATGAAACTCCAGGTATAACTTAATCTAAAGTTATTTACTGCATATTAAAAGTGTAGTCATTGAAGAATTTTCTGTAGTCCAGCCACATGCCTTTTCCTTTAAGCCGAACAATGCCCCTGTGTTTATAGAAATAGCTGGTCTTCACCTGTCTCTGGTATTAGAGCCAGCAGTCCACAATCTCTGCAGTGGCAAGTGTTTTCACCAGAATATTTGACAACATTCTCTCTTTTCCCTTCTTGTTTCTGATCCATAATTCTTCTGCTGAGTAACCGGAGATGACTCTATCATCTCAGTCCTTGTCAAATCCATTGATTGTTAGAGTTTCTGTAAGCAATAAATATAGTTTTGAAGAAATGAACATAAGGGTTGAGGAGATGCATCAGTGAATAAGACCACTTATTGCTCGAACAGTAGGACCTGAGATTGCATTCCCAGAACTCATGTGAAAACACTGAAGAAGGCAACTTTCACCTGTAATCCAGGCACTGAGTGGTGGAATCAGGTAGAATCTGGAAGCTCTCCCACCAGAAAGTCTAGCCAAAATGGTCAACTTCTGATTCAGTGAGAGACCCCTCTTAAGGGAATCAGGCAGAAAGCAGAAGAGGAAGACACTTTCTAGCCCTTTCTGACGGACACAGGGGTATCTGCATTATGTCTCGTGATATGGACATTGAATTGCGGGGCTGATTCTACACTGTAAGAGTTCCACAAAGTGTATACTTTTTTGCTGTCTGCTCACCAATATAGACAGAAGTTTCTTCACATGGAAAATGGGGAAAACGATTGAATATCCCAAAGAACACTATATTAGCCATGAAGAGAAATACTACCCAGGGAAAAAATATTTTTATTTTATAAAACGTACTAAATATAGTTGATGCTTGGCAATTTGCTATTCAGTCATACTATGTTTTCCCCCTCCAGTTTAATTAGCTTGGAGAGTGATAAGAGGGGATCCTAAAAAGACGGCTATGAAGATTTGTTATTTTAATTATCTGTGTATATAAAGACGAAAAACATCACATAACATGAAAATACTAAAGGTGACTTATAATCTACTCAGAAAAGACCTTCTCATAAAGAAAAAGGCTAAATTAAGAGGTTTATTGGCCAAAGCATACTCATAAGACACTAGAGCTATCCTTTGTCTTCATATATAACACAAAAGTATGCTATAGATCTCAGATATACACACCCTTGCCCAGAAAGTTGCACAATGACCCTGGACTGACACTTCTTGAATAACTTCAGGTAGCAAAGAAAATGCCATGGCAACTGCTCCACATGTGTACATCATCATAAGTGCTTGTAAATGACATAGAATACCATTTAAATGGGAGTGCAATGAGAGCAGGGCATATTTTTGCATTATCAAACCGAAGCATTTAGGAGGAACTGGGTGTTTCCTTTGGCTAGAATGTCAAATAGTTCACTTGGTTTAGAATGTGAGTTTATGTGCATAATTTTAGATTGATTATCATAGATATGATTCTCTCTCTCTTTTTTTTTTTTTATAACGGGCCTAGGCTTCCTTTGGCTCAGATGTTTTAAGTGCTTTGTGTGCGTGGCTTCTGCATTAATATTGTGCTGTGTCTATTTTGTGATCTGTTATTAGTATTATCAATTGTAGCTCAGGCAAACTTTTATGTGAAATAGAAGCAAGAACTGAAAATCGTCAATATCTTTTAACTGTTAACCCAGGCCTGAGGAAGTCTGCATAAGCATCCACTCTGCATTTCTAGAGGTAGCTGTTTTTCTACCGTGGCTCCCTAATTACACCTTCTGGGAGACAGAGATTTGTACCATTTTGCCCTTCATTTGCATCATCACAGCAACTGTGGCCTTCATGTCCCTTTGCCTGATAAGTTGCAGGGTTTTGGGGTTCTGCACACTGATTATGCAGCCACGCTTGCCTCTCCTTGGACAGTTCCAAGGACATTGCGATTCTTCCTTCAGGCTTACAGCACACACTTGAAAAGACCATCTTGCCTTCCATCCTACTCAGAAAGTGGTGCATGACAGCCCCTCAGCCCATTTTCACCTTCTGGAGACTGGAGTGTGCCTGCATAAGAGCTAAATGCAGACTTTTCATGGCTGAATCTATCTTTACAATCACTTGAGAATTAACCCTTAACAAGCATGCCTCACAGCTTACCTGTGGGTCTAGCTTTTAGAACTAATTTATTATTTTTCTTCCTTGGCAGACATTATAAGATACTGGGGCTTTATGAGTGTTCTTCATCACTAAATTTACATCTAGGGCATTTAATCAACTACCTGTCTAAAGCATTGCATTAATCAGAAAAAGACACTTAATCTAGAATATTTATTTTTAGCTTATACTTTGCTGTGTGGTAGTTAAGTAAGACTTCCTTCAAATCTACAAAATAATTGACTGTCATTCTGAAGAAATCAAGATGATCCAGTATAAAATAATGTCTTCAGTGAATATTGGTTGTCTGAAATTTTATGTAATATGAAGTGAAGTTTGTTGTATGTGCATGATTCATAGAACTAAAGGTAAAATGTCCATGAAAGCCACAGAAAATGTCATTCAGTATGAGATTTGGTCAGATAGGAAGGTTTTATAATTTGAATTATAATTTATAATTTGTTTTTTTAACTGGAGAATTCTCCCACCAAATTCTACTTAACCAAAATATTTTCTTCTGTCTTAGTGATTCTAACTCAGGATAATGATCTCACCTGTTCTACTTTGAGGCAACAATGAAATTTTTGTTTGAGAAATTGCCTTGGTGTTAATCAGAGTCATAGAACATCAAACAGTAGAGATTGAATTCTTTTCTCTAAGAACCAAAACACAAAAATATTCAAGTATATGTAGCTAGAGTTTTTCTGCCTTGCCCACAGTCAGGACAAATCTCTGTCACCCGCCAGCCCCACAGCCGCTCAGACCCAACCAAGTAAACACAGAGACTTATATTGCTTACAAACTGTATGGCCATGGTAGGCTTCTTGCTAGCTGTTCTTATAGCTTAAATTAATCCATTTCCATAAATCTATACCTTGCCACCTGGCTCGTGGCTTACCAGTATCTTCACATGCTGCTTGTCCTGGCGGCTGGCAGTGACTCCTTCTGCCTTCCTGTTCTTTCTTCTCTCTTCTCTGTTAGTCCTGCCTATACTTCCTGCCTAGCCACTGGTCAATCAATGTTTTATTTATTGACCAATCAGAGTAATTTGATATACAGACCATCCCACAGCAAGTATATTATAGTGTAATTTTATCATGTTCTACTTTCATTCATGTCTTATATGATACATAGTTGTAAGGCAAATGTGGAAATATTCCTAAAAGCTAATTATAATTTTTAAAAGCTAATTATAATGCCTGGATCACAATATGACAAATTCTATGGTCTTAATGTCTGTATCTCCTCAGACTTCACATGTTGCAATCCTAATACCCAAATGATATGTAAAGAGGAAGAGGCTGCTGCAAGATGATTCGGTCATGAAGACTGAAGTATCATGAATGGTATTACTGTTCCTACAAGCCCAAGAGAGCTCTTTACTTTTTCTCCCAAATGAGTACACAGCAAGAACATGGCATATATGGACCGAGAAATAAGATATCAACAGATATCAGTCTTTCAATACCTTGATCTTGAACTTCTCAATCTAAAATAAGGAATAGATTTATACTTCTATAAATTAGCCAATCTGTTTTCCTTTCACAGCACAGATAGGTCATCATCATTTGTGCCATATTTCTTAGAGTGTTCGCTGAGATTAAATAAACATAATAATAGCACAGAAATCCATTTACATAAGCACACAAGCTTTCATAAAGTTTCAAACATTTGCATAGTGAGGCCCACCTAGGCTTTTCATTAGTATTTTTATGCTAAATACCACTTTTTCTTAAATCATTATACTTTGAGAACTGTTTGGATTATCTACATTTTAAAAATACTCCCTTTCTTTCATCAAGACTTTGAGTTTATTTCTGGTACTATAAACCTGTGAGGAGCCTAAAGGAGAGGTACTACTGCCATACCCTCAGAGAGTATGGCCTTTTCTTCTCATCAAAAAAACTTTTATTTTTAGCAGCAGATAGAGACCATAGCAGGAAACCATAGCTCGTCAAAATTCAGAGAACTACTCACCATGGAGTGCCCACCCACAAATGATACTTCTACCATTCAGTCTGTATAACTAAGGCTTAGAGAATGTTACAGAAGATAGAATGAGTATAAAAGTCAGAGGACAAGGAAGGAAGTTGCACTTGGGAAATCTTAACAGTATTATAGCCAAAACAAGAACTGAGCAATGATTATACCAGTTGGTATGCCAACATAGAGAATATCTTGTAAGGTCCCACCACTAGAGGAAAAGTTATAGGCAAATAATGACTACTAAGAGAAGGAGGATAGCCTTCTCCAGGTCTAACTCCCAACTTGTTAAGTAGTCAGCCCTAAGAACATATATATGTTACATACACACACACACACACACACACACACACACACACACATATACAACACTGAAAGGATTCAACACATTATATTTATATATGTATGTATACATGTAACAATAATAAAGAAAACAATAGAGAAAACATATGAAAGTAGAAGGAAAGATGGGAAGTAGAGGGGAACAAGAAGGGAGAGCAAGATATGATAATAGGGGATTGAAGGTGATTAAAGTGTATAAAGTTTATGCATAAATGTCATAATAAAGCCCATTATTTTGTACAATTAATAAATGTTAGAACAGAAATATTTTAGGTTATGCTTTATTATTGCATTTTTGTAAGTTGAACTGCCATTTTGAATACATGTTTTATAACAACCCAGTAACAATTTCTTTAAATGCAGTAATATAGACACAAGCAAATATCAGAAAGTTACTATCTTTACCTTCAATAGTGAATTTCAGAGCATGTTGTTACCATTTCACTCTACTTAATGTATGAAGTCAACCTTGAACAAAACACACCCAAAGGTGACTTGACATTGGCTCAGAGATTCTTGGTACGGCAGTAGAAAATCATTGTTGGCTAATGCCAGATTTAAGAAAGTAGTAACATCTACATTCCAGACCACAAAAGATACGTTAAACTCAAGACTTCGCATGGCCTGTGGGAAATTCAAGCCTGTTAGCACAACATATCTACATCCATCCTACAATAAGATATAATCAAAATTCTATGGTACATAGACTTAGGAAAATGTGGCTATTGTGTAAACACTGGCATGAAAACATGGCTATTATGTATTGTATATTGTTAAATGAAAAAAATGCTTTATACGTACAATATATGATCTCATTTTACTAAAAATAGATGTGTAATTATTATCATGTGGAAAGTACAAGGTCACGCAAGAAGATCAATAATAGAATGTGTTGTTGATCTTTATTCTTTTCTTCTTTTATCAATTAAGTCTGTCCATAGCAAGGTACACCAGAGCCAAGATGTAAGAAAATGGACAAGTATTAAACTAATAAAAGTAAAAAGAGAGAATATTCCAGCATGAGAGAGAGAAAAAATTTATTTGAGTATTTAAAAAAATCAAATGAAGTTGAGAAATAGAAACTACAGTAAGGGTGGAAAGCATAAGACAGGAGCCTGGAGGTTTGCAGAGCCAGGTTGTGAAATATGGCATAGGGTTTATTAATGATCTAGGCTCTCATTCTAAGAGCCTCTGAAAGGCTTTTTAGCAGAAAAGTAGCATAATCAGACATAAGACAGAAATATTACTATTTCTGCAACCTCGACAACAGATTGGAAAAAAGTAGAAAAATGGAAAACATTTTAAAGGAATTTGTTAAAATCCCAATAAGTGACAGTTCTGGCCTAAATTAAAGTGTTAGCCCTGATGTTAGAAAAAATGGCTCTAATTCATTAACTGCTCAGAAGATAGAGCTGCAAGCCATTCACTAAGATAAGGAACCTGGGGAGAGGAGAGGCCTGCAAGGGTAGCTGAGGGATCTACATGGATGCATATCCAGCATGTTCGTGTGAATTTGAAGATGAACAGTAAACAAATAGAGATGAGTATGAAATTCAGGATGGGAATCTAATGCTGACCAACTCTCTTAAGAACATCAGAATGTGGATAGTAGTGGGGACCCAAGCTCACAGAGGAAGGCTGTATAAATCAGAGAAAAGTCTCAGGACACCAAACCTTCCCATTTCTCCTCTTCCCTCTTGATGATCTTCCTTGAGACTTGAAGGGCCAGGTGGTGGGAAGGGGAGTCATAAAATGCTCTTAGAGAAACCTACCCTGAATGTGTTGCTAGAACTCATAGTGGCTGAATTTGTCTGCTTAGTGTCTGATCCAGACTAACCTGCTGAAACATTCATCACAGAAGGAGGGGGGACTCATGGACCTCTGCCCAAACCAGGAGAGCTAATTGCAGACCCTGATGGTGAGAAGGAAGTCATTGTGTTCTATGTCATAGCCACGGGCCTGTTACTCAAGCTTTGCTGAATGGCACCACACCCAGAGTTTAACAAGGACAACCTGCATGGGTGCTTGGTGTGAAGAGGGGCTGGTAGGGGATGAATGTGACCAGAATATAGTGCATGCATGTACGTACATGTATGAAACTGTTGAATAATATGTTAATAAAAAGTAAAAGCAAGAATAGTCTCAATGCAATACAGGAGAATAACAGCACTTACAGACTTAGAGAAAAAATACAAATTCTTTCTTTTCTTTTCTTTCTTTCTTTCTTTCTTTCTTTCTTTCTTTCTTTCTTTCTTTCTTTCTTTCTTTCTTTCTTTCTTTCTTTCTTCTTTCCTGTATCTGTGTGAGTTTCTTTTCTTGTTTGTTTTGTTTTATCTTATTATCTTTATTTAAAAGTTCATAAAAGTCAGATCCTAGAAAAATGGTCCATCTCAGTCTGACCCCTTTCCATTAACTTGGCATATTCACATCATCAGGTAAACATAAAAGTATATCTGCAGTCACTATTCATTTTTTTAATTTACATCATATTTATTTTTTAATTGAAAATAATTTTTCATGCAACATACTCATGTTCCCCTCCTCATCTCTTCCCAGATCTTTTCCAGCTTCCCACACTCCCAAATCCACAACTTTTTTCTTTCTCTCTTTAGGAAATAAACAAGCAAATTAAAAAAATAAACAAACCAGAATAATAAACAAAACACAAAAGCAGCAATCTACTGCTGCACATAATACCTACCCTGAAGTGTGGTTTATATACGCAGTGAGAGTACATCAGAGAAAACTAAATTTCCCTTTACAAGTAGTTGTCAGTTTGAGATAGCCTCTTGGTTAGTGAGAGGAGCTCATGTTGACTTTCCACTCTCAGATATAGGACCCTATCTGACTTGGACCTGTGCCGGCCCTGTGCATGCTGCCACAGTCTCTGTGCATTCATATATGCATCAGTCCTGTTGTGCCTGGAAGATACTGTTTCCTTGGTGTCATGAATTCCATCTGTCTCTTACAATGCTCCTCTCTTTTTTGCACACAGCTTCTTCCTGATTTGTGAAGGGAGGGTTTGATGAAGACATCCTATCTAGGACTGAGTGTTCCAAAGCCTTTTACTCTCTGCACATGGTCCAGTTGTGGGTTCCTGAATTTGCTTCCATCTACTATGGGAGAAAGCTTCTCTGGTGATGGCCAAACAAGATATTAAACTATGGGTACAGCAGAATGTCTCTAAAAGTCATTTTATTGCTCTGTTATTTAGAAGAACTGCAATAACCAGATGTGAGTACAATCTAGTTTGAGATACTTCTAATGTGCAACTGTATGCTACTTGCACTTTCCCTGATATTCTCATCTCTTTACTTTAGTAATTTTGATCCTAACACTCTCTCCTTGCTTCACCAGGTGTGACTGCTGTCATGGTTTGTCTTTGTTCTTCAACATATTCTTTATTGCTTTTTATTTGTGGTTTCAATGTTAGCTATAATAAGAACTAGATCCCCACAACTCAGGAGATAGCTTAATTGATAAAGAGCTTGCTACCTGAGCATAAGGAACAAAGTTTAACACTCTATGCCTACATTTAAAATGATGGACAAGGTGAAACTTTCTTTCAGTACTGGCAATGGGGAAGCAAAGACAGCTATATTCCTGGGGCTTGCTAGCCAGCCAGACTTATCTGCTTGGTAAGATCCAGGTATATGTTAAACCCTGTCTTAAAAAAAGAATGGTGGACAGTGCCAGAGGAAAGACACCTGAAATTTTTCTCTAGACTGGACACACACATAGGTACACATGTAGTCTTACCCCACACAGACTTGCATAGAGACACACACAGAGTAAACTCCCAAAACTTCATAGGCCTAATCAAAAGTAATTATGTCACCTTTTACTTCCTAGTCAAACGTTGATATTTCTGTTGCCCTTGTGGTTTATAAACCTCAACTTTGTAATAGCCTCAGACTCTTTCTACAACCCACTGACAGAGAGAAAAGAAACTAACAATTCCACTGTAGAAGCGGGAACATGAGGTTCATTCCACAGTTGAGTGGATTTTCTACAGACAAATTCCACCAGAAAATATTGGTAGACCAATTCTTTCCATCCATCAGTTATGACCAGCAGGGGTGTCAGTTCCCTTTTACTTCTTGCCTGCAGTCCTGTGAGCAAAACAAACTTTATTTTCATGAAGAGTTGGGTGTTTTTAGCCATAAGCTGGGGGAGGATGCTTTAAAGTAGTCTGATTTAATGCAACATAAATGGACTATTGCCTATATCTGCCTGAGGACTGCATTTCTTCCAGTAGTAATTTGTATAAACACTAGGTTCTAGCAGGAATTAGGAACTTCAAGGACACAACAAAGAGAACTGTAATCACAGTTACACTCAAGTCATATAGTGCTTCTGTGTGGTAGGCAGCTTTTGCCCATTTGTTGCTTTCAGGGCCCAATACTCTTAATGAATTGTGTCACAACACAATTTTTTGTGGTTGTTTCAAACCTTTGCATTCCACTAATACAAAAGAAAATTATGCAGAGAGAAAGAACATCCACATGATTCAGAGGAAACTCACGTTTGCTCACATCTTACTCCTAAGCAGTGGGTCCATGTTCCATGAAGTATCAACCTAGTGTGTGATTTAGTATGAGCTGCACAGAACAACTGGAGTCCAAGTCTTAAAATCACACATAATAAACACATCTACTTTAAATTCTAGGATAAAGTATCACTGGGAAATTCCACATAGATCTGCAGTATTTTTTGTTTAGCTATGTATGGTTTCTACACCTATAAATCAGCACTCAGGAGGCTGGGCATGAGGATAATTCAAAGATTCAATGCTAGCCTGTGCTACATGATGCATTCTGGACTAGTCTGTGCTAGTGAGTCCCTGTCTCAAAAGCCTGCATACACACTGATAGAGTTGGGACTCTTCTACAGAAGAAACTGAAATAGCTAAGCAAACACATTTTTCAAAGTTGTGTGAATGAACATTGCTCTGAATACTTGCTCCAAACCTAGAAGCAGAATATTATACACATAGCTGAATTTCCATATGTGGAAACTGCAAAATTGCTATTTGTGAGTCATGTTCATTTGTATACCAGAAACCTGCCAGCAATGTACCCAAAATTCATTTGTAGCCACTGTTTATAGCAATGTCGGCATTCAAGTTTTTATGTATAAATAGCAAAGTAGAGCTACTGGCACCATAGCAGCTAACATGCTTACTCATTCACACTTGCAAGTTTATTTGCTCTTTGTAGAAAAAATATATTAGGAAATATCTTTAACATTAGATGAGAGAACATTGCAATGAGGCCTAAAATAAAAACTAAGGTTCAAAAAGAAAGCCAAGAATTTACATGAAAACTAGAGAAATATACTAAACAATGTTTGGTTGTTTTCCAAATATTTACATATTTGAAATTATATTAACCAAAGAGACTATATGTGCAAAGACCATCTTTCTCTTCTTACCATAAAAATTACTATAACAATAGCTATAAGCCATAACCATAACTGCTAAGGATTCAAAGTCTACCTAGAAATTGTTCTTGCCACATGTGATGGTGAATATGTGCATCAACTTGGCTAGATTTAGAATCACCTATGAGACACATTTGACACACTTTTTGTTCAGTTTGTGAGGATATTTCCAAAGATTCTTAAATGCAAAGGGGACACGTTCCTTAAACATGAACAGGACCTTGCTATACAATTAGGGTTCTGATTGAATTAAAGTGGAAAATGAAGAAGCCTCATTAATATCGCCCTTGTATGCTTCACTCTGCTTCAATCTGACGAGCTATTTTATACTACCTCTTAATTTGGTATGAAGTTGAGAAATAACTCTGATTTCAGCTACAATAGTTGATGAATCTGAAACTTGTCACTCTCATTATTCCAAATGCATCAAGACTCAGAAAGAGAAACATGGTATGTACTCACTCATAAGTGGATACTAGATGTAAAGCAAAGGATGAACAGACTACAACCCACAACTCCAGGGAAGATAGGAAACAAGAAGGACTCTAAGAGGGACACATGGATCACCCTGGGAAGGGGAAATAGATGAGATCTCCATGAGTAAACTGGAGGTAAGGAGGGGCAATAGAGGGGAGGGGATAAAGAATGAGAAAATGAGAGAACAAGATGGCTGAGCTGGAACAAGGACAGAGTGGGAGAGCAACGAACGAGATATCTAGATAGAGGGAGAGATTATGAGGTAAGGGAGAAATCTGGTGCTAGGGTAATTCCCAGGAATCCACAAGGATGACCCCACCTTAGACTACTAGCAATAGTGAAGAAGGTGCCTGGTAATCAGATTGGTGAATACCCTGTCATCATAGAGCCTTCATCCAATAACTGATAGAAGCAGATACGGAGATCCACAGCCAAGCACCAGACTGAGCTCTGGGAGTCCAGTCACAGGGAGGGAAGAGGGATTCTATGAGCAAGGCACATCAAGATCATGATGGGGAAATCTATAGAGACAACTGAACCAAGCTTGTAGGAAATCATGAACTTTAGACCAACAGCTGTGGAACCTGAATGGGACTGGACTAGGCTCTCTGCGTAAGAGGGACAGTTGTGTAACTTGGTCTATTTGAAGGGCCCCTGAAGGTGGTGCAGGGAAGGTGGATCCATCCCTGGTGTATGAGCTGGCTTTTTGAAGCCCATTACCTGTGGTTGAATGCCTTGCTCAGCCTTGATGCAGGGAAAGGGATTTGGTCTTGCCTCAACTGAATGTACCAGGCCTTGCTGACTCCTCATGGAAGGCTTTACCCTTTTGGAAGAGGGGATGGGACAGTGGGCTAAGAGGAAGCTGCAGGGGGAATGGGAGGAGAGATGGGAGGGGGATCTGTAGTTAATATGTAGAATAAATGAAAAAACCTCTTAAATAAAAAAATAAAAGTCTAAACACTTTGAAAATAAGTAACTTTTATCAAGCAGAAGAGATATTTAAGATTTGGTAAAATTGCGACTTCACGAACCAGGGAGACAGCACATCCAAGAAGGAAATAGAACTAAGATCAGTTTCTCTGAGACATCAGTACTGGAGCTTACTCCACATCAAAAGTGTGATACCCTCCAGTGGAATAAATATATGTTAAGGCAATTTTTAAAAATATTTTATTTTTATTTATAATATTTTTATATTTTGCATACCAACCACAGATCCCCTTCTCATTCACTCCCCCCCAGCATCCCCTCAATGCACCCCCTATCCCCTCCTCCAAAAGGGTAAGGGCTCACATAGAGAGTCAGCAAAGCCCCGGTACATTCAGTTGAAAAAACAATGTATCATAAAATGTACAGGCAAATGGATGGAACTAGAAAATATCATCCCGAGTGAGGTAACCCAGACTCAGAAGGACAAACATGGTATGTACACACTCATAAGTGGATACTAGATATGAAGCAAAGGATAACCAGACAACAACCCACAGCTCCAGAGAAGCTAGCTAACAGGAGGACCCTAAGAGGGACACATGGATCGCCTTGGGAAAGGGAAATAGATGAGAACTCCATGAGTAAACTAGGGGTGAGATGGAGTCATTTTAAAAAATATTTTAACAGTTATTTCTTTGTTTTAGATTTGTGTTGTCATCAGGGTTAGGAGGCAAACATGATATCACATGGCTGTGGAAATCAGGAAACTTTAGGGAGCTTGTTCTCCCTACCCACATGTGGGTGGGTCCTTAGGAATCTAACTCAAGTTAGCAGCAAGCACTGTTATTCATTGAGCCTTGTCACTGGATCTCATCACATGATTTTGAAACATTACCTATTGCTGCTATGAGGGCCAGCCTTCAGCAGCTCAAAGGTTGAGGGGAATTCATGGAGTTGGTGAACTAACCACTCAACTTCACTTTTCTATCTGAGGGAGTAAAACAATTCTCTGGGAGAGGTAAGGGGTGGGAACGCAAAACTTAACTCTCTGTGGCCAGTGGGGGGGGGAACTTAATTCCCTGGGACCAATGAAAAGGGGAAACACACACACACACACACACACACACACACACCTTCAACATGTCAGGATCCTACCTGGGGTGCTGATAAATGGTAAGCCTTCAGTACTTCAGAGAAACTGAAGAGGAGATGCAGAGCAGTGAAATTATTGGCAGACAAACAGATATATGAGTACTGTTCTGCTGACCAAGCTTAGTTCTTCATTTTATTATTCTCACTGTTGCTTGTACTCCATTCCTTTTTTATTCCATTCTTCTAACCCTATGTTTCCCTTCTGTCTATTCTTAATTTTTTTCCTTCCTTTACAGCTTATATACTCCAGCAAAATCATTCAAGTAGTATAAAAATTACAATGTAGTTACCTTTCTATTTTATAAGTGAATGATTACAATGAATACAAGTAAAAAGTATGTTTTTCATATCCCTTACATGATTAAACATTTTATGTATTATAGGTGAAAAACAAGTTGTCCAAAAACACACATATATTTATACCCAAGCAACTTGTTTTAGATTAACAGAGTGGAAGCAAGCAAGGTATTTTGCTCAGTCAGTTCTCTTGATGGCTGGCTGCATTTTGCTGGCAGGTTACAAAGAAAGGATCAGTCGCTTTATTATTTATCTCAAAAGGTAACATAAGAAATCTTAAAAGAATCACAAATGAAACATGATCCTACTTAGTTGTAAGAATAAAAACCCAGAGTCAGATATTAGAGTAAAAGTTGAAAGATCGGAGAAGCAAAGCAGCCAGCTACCAGACTTCTTACCTCTACAAAATTGCAATCCAAATGGGCATTGTCCTGTCTCTATAAATCCTCAGACTAAAGGGCCAAGATTCTGTTTCCATCCACCTTATATTTCTGTCTCAGCCTCCCTAGTGCTGGTATCAAAGGCATGTGTCACCATGATCTGTTTCTCTTTTAGACTGGTTCAATCTCGTGTAGCCCCAGGTGGCCTTGAACTCTTGATCTTCCTGCTTCCTCCTCCCAAGTACTAGGACTAAAAGTATGTAACACAACTAGCTGGCCTCTATAGTTAACTAGTGGTTAGCTCCACCCTCTGATCTTCAGGTAAGCTTTATTTGTCAGAGTACAAACAAAATATCATACAACAGAGAAATCTAAACTTTTATATATGAAAAACAATTGGTCAGCTCTATTTAAATCCTCAGGGTGTATACCCACTCACCAGCACTTTTTTTCAATATCAGGAAGCTAAGGGTACAAATGTATACAAAGAATTATTCATCATCTTTGATCACCAACCCATTCTAGCAAGAAAGGTATGTCAGCCAGAAATAGTTAGGTTGCCATTGTTTTGTTCTGTGATCTCAATGAGTCCCTTGTTCAACTATTAAAATGTGTGTTTATAAACTTTAAATTGTTCCCCAATATTTTCTATCTCAAATCCATTAAGAAAAATATCTTAACCCATCCTTACTAACAATTCTTCATGGCTATATTCTTTCTAAGGGTAGTGGGTGAATCATTAATCTGATCCAGGAGTAGTGCTTGGAAAAGGACAATCACTATTATTGTAAGAACGAGTAACATTGCCAAGTGAGGGGCTAGAAACACCCTGAGAGTTTTCACACAATCCATAGATTGTGAGGGATGTGGTAACCATCCCTCACAATAATAAGACAACAATAAGAGCTATGCTCAATACAGCATGAGGTCCTCAGGAGATATAGTCCTCAGGGGCTCTGCTTCTCCAAGGCTCACTCAGGTGTAGGTTTACCAACTGCCCAACTGTTTCATGAGTTCCAGTGCTGTCTGTTGGCCTGCCTCCCATGGCCCCCAACAATGATCTCTGTTGAGAGAAGAGTAACTCCCCACTCTAGCCCACTCCAGCTCATTTTGTCCACATTAAGAAAAAAAAACAAGACAAAACAAAACAAAGGTATGTTTACCAAGAAGTAAAGCACCCATAAAATAGAATGGGAATAACATAGCAAACAAAAAGAGTGAAGAAGAAAGGAAGGGAGAAAATAAAAGCAAAAGAATACACTATTCTATCAAAAGATGAACAGAAACTTCTCTGTTGGTGACAGCTTTAAGACTCACACCTACCCCTGCATAGAAATGTACTCAGACAGGATTTTTCACATTACCAACAGTGTCCACACCTGCTATACACTGGGTTAAAAACAGTGAAACAAAAGACAAGCTTTAAAGCTGAGTCTCTTTCTTAGAACAGTACAAGAAAAACTCCAACAGCTAAAAATTGGATGACAAAATTCTAAAGGAATTTGAAGATTCTGGTATTCTTAACTACAGTAGTGATTAAACATATCTCAATTTCTAAACAGACTAATGAGTCATCATATCACACTCTTTACTCAGTTTCTTACTGTTCAGAGCAATACAAACAATTTCAACAGAAAACAAATTGTGAGTTATACTCAAAGCCAAGAAGAAATGCAGTCTGATGGTACAAAGCCATCAGAGATAGATTCAAACACGACATTGAAAAAACCCTTTGAGTTCATTATGTACAACTATCCAATTTTGTCTGTCAGACACTGTTCATTTGTTTCTGTCCACTACCTCAGGCTCTTGAAGTCTTGCCAATCCCTTTTCCCTAAATGATCCCTGTAGATGTAACCAACCGTCTTATTAAAATAAGAAACACAGAACCAATGTAAAAGAGAAAGCCAAGAGGTCAGAGCTCAGAGCTAAAATCTTACCACCTGCAGTGCTCCTATCTCCCCGAAAGAGACCTATATCCTGCATGTATGTCTTTAAATAGTCTTTCTGTTCTGCCTTCTCATTGGTTGTAAACCCAAACACGTGACTGCCTCATCACTGCCTGTATGTACAGCCCTCCAAGTCTTAAAGGCATATGTCTCCAATGCTGGCTGTATCCCCAAACACACAGAGATCTATGGGATTAAAGGCGTGCGCCACCACCGCCACGCTCTTTCTATGGCTCTAATAGCTCTGACCCCGGGCAACTTTATTTATTAACATACAATTAAAATCACATTTCAGTACAAATAAAATACCACCATAGATCCCTGAACCATGGGAAGAGAGAGTGTCCCTTTTAGGGTTGAACATTCTGAAATCTCTTACTTACTTACTTACCCAGTCATAGGTCTCTGAGTTAATTACCATCTACTTCAAATAGAAACTTCTCTGTTGAAGGCCAAGAAATGCACTGATTATTAATAAAATAATAACTCATTAGGAATCAGTTTAATACTGTGCCATTATAGCAGAATAATTGTAATAGATTCCTCCTGCAGGCCTACTATCTGTTTTATCACAGGTCCTTGAACTAATAATATTGCCCAATATGGGTTTTATCTTGTGGTGTAGGACTTAAGTCCACTCAG